TTGTCCTCTTTGAGAAGGCTGGGCTGTTGTCCTTTTCCAGCCTCCTACCTCTTCCTGTCGGCAGGGATCTTGGTTATGGATGTCTCGAGCAAGCCTTGATGCAGCCCCTTCTGCCTTCCAGGTACTACCGAGGGACCCACGGGGTCATTGTGGTGTACGATGTCACCAGTGCAGAGTCCTTCGTCAATGTCAAGCGGTGGCTGCACGAAATCAACCAGAACTGTGATGACGTGTGCCGGATATTAGGTGAGGCTGAGCTGGGCGGGGGCGGCTGGGCTGGCTTCTCTCCCCGAGGCCTGGGGCTCTTCTGACCTTGATCTGCCCTACAGTGGGGAACAAGAACGATGACCCTGAACGGAAGGTGGTGGAGACAGAAGATGCATATAAGTTTGCTGGGCAGATGGGGATCCAGCTGTTTGAGACCAGCGCCAAGGAGAACGTTAATGTGGAAGAGGTAAAGTCCTGGGAGAAGTCAGTCTTCAGGACTGGGAGGTCTCCATGGGGTGCTAACTTCTGAACTGCTCCCTAGGTGCCTTGCCTCTAGCTTAACATGTGGCTGTGCTCCCCAGATTTCCTTTTCCCCCAGCCTAGCTATCGTTGGGGCTGATGTTGGACAAGGTTGCCCAAGTCGTTCAAATTGACCTTGCTGGCAGGCCAAAGCAAGGCCCAGGGTGGCCGGTTGCCTCTTGAGCATTCCTAGGTGCCATTACAGAGCCTCTCCCTCCCACGGGGGGGGGGGACGGACAGTGGTGCCTTTTGCATGGCTGCAGGGTTTGGGGAAGGTGACGCAGAAGGTATTGGATGTTGATGGTAACCCGAAGTGATAGCGGTGGAGGGCGAGCCCCTTGGGGGCCCCAGCCTTCTGCAGAGATTGACATTGACTTCTAAGGCCCTTCCTTTGAAATCTCTATGGGCTCCTCGGGGGCTTTAGGGAGCCATGACCATTTGTCCTGTGCTCTCTCTGGCCTCTTTTCCCTAGAATAACAGGAAACCTAGGAGTCCACAAGTGTTCTGCTGGACCTGGAGCATTGCTCCTTCCTATTGGACAGGGGTCCCTTTCGAAAGGGAGAAGCAAGGAGTGGGACCTTGGGGGTAGATGCTGGGGGGCCTAGTGGAAGGGGTGGCTGAGGAAGGGGGTCTGTGGAGTGGGACCTTGGGGGTAGAGGCTGGGGGGCCTAGTGGAAGAGGGCAGAGGAAGGGGGT